CCCCTAGCTCAGTGTCTTATGTATGGAAATTCAAAGTTAGGGAGACCTTTGTCTCAGGGTCTACCGAGACCACCCATTTGGTGGGCACAGTGGACTGCCCCCTAGCTGGCTGTTCTGCAGACATCTCAATAATTCTTAAACTTGGCTCAGTGAACACCACGTCTTTCCTCTGCTTTACCTATGATCAAACATGGGACTACTGCAAAAAGGGGTCCACTTATGGGGAAGAATACGGAGGCTGCCCATATTGGAGCTGCAAGATACATTCGCCTTCCCAGCCACAGAGCTCCTTTTTCCTCCTGAAAGGAAACCAGTTTAAACTTAAAATCCAAGACCCCTGGGACACCAGATGGGTAGCTGGAGTGGTAGCTAAACTATATGCTACAGGATATAGCTCCTACCCGTGTGCAACCCTCAACATAGATAGAGCCTATGTCCCAACACAAAATGCTTCCGTCCAGGTCTCCCAAGATATCCTTCACTCAGAACAAGTCTAGCAAAGCCAGCTAACATCATTAGAAAATACTGAGACACCCTCAGTCTGGATTCATATAATCCAAAATGCTATAGCCTTCCTAAATGACTCTCTCGGGACTAATACCTCCTCTTGTTTCCTCTGGGCTTCCCTGCAGAGACCTCTACTGGCGGCAGTTCCAATCAATCTCAATACCACTACCACCAAAATAAGGACGCTGCTTGCCAGACTCCCCAACTTTCAGTCCCCCTATGGGACTCCAATCACAGCTACCCCTGCTATCAAACTGATGCCCTTGTCAGCTTTTATTCCTGTACTTCTAACATTTCGGTTACTTCTGTGCTCCAAACAACAGCAAAGGAAAATTTTTTTTTGGTGCAATGGCTCTCTCTCTTGGTGTATTAATTTTGCTACTCCAGGCCCATGTATCCAAGTCCTCGTGGTCTCACAGTTAACTCTGTACGAACTGTCTGAGCTAGGTTGGTTATTCTCACCACATCGGACTAAGCGGGCAGCCTTTCTTCCAATCATGGAATTGCCCAGGAATTTCATGAAAGAATAGATACCTCCTTAGAAAAAACCTATGTGTCTTTAGCATCATTACAAAGACAGCTCACCTCCCTGGCACAGGTCACTCTCCAAAACCGGCGGGCTCTGGTCTTGTTAACAGCTAATAAAGAGGGTACCTGCCTGTTTCTCAGGGAAGAATGTTGTTACTATATCAACAAATCAGGGATTATAGAACAAAATGTAGAAGCCTTAATAAAACTATGCAAAGACATAGAATGGGAAACCGGGAGTTCCAACTCTCCGCTGACATGGTATTGTTAGGGGAAAAGGATGTCCCAAAGCTAATTCCATGTAGACTTTGTGGACTCCACCCCCACCCCAGGTCAAAGCCAAAGACACTGGGAACTCCAAATACCATCATCACCAAAGGGAAGGTGGCTGGGACCTGAGGGTGGGGTTAAGCAGCCAGGTGGATATAAAAGGCAGACACGTGGGCTTTGGGGAGCCCCCATTTTTGGCTCTCTGCCAGCTAGCAGCATCCGGCCAGCTCTGAGAGTGCCTTTTGGGTTTCCAGGTCAGCCGATCGGGTAGGACGCATTAAAGACTTTATTTCCCTATTTTCTCCCTGAGTTGTACATTTTTCTTATTTCCTTTTCCCTTATAAATTAACCTTTTATTAACCTTTTGTGTGTGTCTGTAGTAGAGTATTCATAAGTCCCTTTAAAGCGCGTGGGTGAGGACCCACAGCCAGGAACCCGTTTAATATCGGGGTTGCTCTATAACAGTTTCAAAATCCTATAGTGTCATGGCTCCTCCCACTCTTGGGGCCAATACTAATGATAACCTTATTTTTTCTTTTCGCCCCTTGCCTCCTAAAATTCATACAGGCTCGCATTCGGGAAATGTCTCCTACCACCTTTAACCAACTCCTTCTCCATCCCTATTCTAGCATCCCTGCCGAAGACCCTCATAACCAGGCCTGAGCCACTCCCTTGGTCTTCGCCCCCTTTCAGTAGGAAGTAGCCAAAGAAAGAATCTTTGCCCCTTTTCCTATCAACAAAAGGCTGGTATGAGAGGTCCTTGCAGGAGGCCAGAATGCAAAAGCCAACCAGGAAGCCCACCTGGGGTCAGGAAAGTGTATACCTGCCTGGAGGACTCAGACAATGAACCTCTCCCCTCCCCCTAAGAGTCTCTTCTCAGACAAAGAACCTCTACCTGCCCCACAAACATTTCCCTCCCGCCATACCAACCCAACTTCCCACCTGACCCCTCCTTACCCTATAATACCCTGCTTCCCCCTAACAACATGCGCCACAACTCTGACCCCCCTGCCTTGGGTCTGTGAGGTCCACCCAGAGCAATAAACTTTCCCTTCCCCCAGGAATCTTGGCCTGGCTGTTCTTTACAGTGCAGTACCTTTCACAAACAAACAAACAAAACCTGCCAAACAGGCTTGGGTTGGTGATCCAGAGTAACTCCCTCCTCTACCACCTTTAGCACCCCCTTAGATTACTCTGGCTGGCTGGAGGAGGGGGAGGGGCTGCGTCTGGTCTCAGTATGTGGCTGCCTGGACCTTTACTCCAGTACTGAGACTCATGACATGTCTCTGCTTCCTTCCTGCTGTAGAAAAACTGGACTCTGGGCCTCCACCGGTGGCTCAGTGGTTGAGTGCTGGGCTGCAAAGTGTTGTGCCCACGTCGACCAGTGCAGCCCCCAAGGACACAGACAACCGATGCAAGGGCATTAAGGAGTTTAATACGGGCTCGAGACCGGGCCCTCGACACGCACCGATGCAACGGCAGAGGTCGAGAGCCCCGAACAGAGGAAGCTGGGACATCTTATAGGGTCGCGAGTGGCGGGAACTTTGAAAGAAGTTGGCAATTATTCATTGGCTACTACAAAGGCACTTTGGGCGCGCGCGGTTACAGTTTCAAACTGATTGGACGGTTAGAGATGCTGTCCCATTTATGGACAGGACTGCCCTCATTGGTGGCTGGGGTGGTCTGCTTTTTCGTCACCAAGTGGAGTGAGGGTTGTGACTGCTGAAACTATCTCCGGAATGCGGCAGGACAAGGACTAACATATCAAGGTGGAGGATATACAAAATGGCGAAACCTCAGCTAAGCTTGGTTCCACATTTCCCCATTTTTTTTTTTTTTTTTTTGAAAAAAAACGGCTAGTCAGTTAAGAAAATAACACAGCTACCAAGCCTTTTATCAGTTAGTCAGTCTCAGAATTATGGTTACGTTTAGTCACATTATGTGTCATTTTGTTGTTCATTCACAGGGTTATAGGTCCAGCAAAAGTTCTCAGCCACAAATGAGAATTACTCTGCTTAAACAAGAGATGTTTCTTTAGTTGTTTTTATCCCTGAAGCCTTCCTAAACTCCTTAGAGGTCCTCTTTTGTACTGTTCCTGAAACTTGCTTAATCACCCTAACTCGCCCTATGTCTCATTCCTCCCTTTTTGGGAATGGAGCCCCTAACTGCAGTCAGGGAAAAGGGGCGTCGTTCTGATCAGTAACTGCTTCCTGCTGAAAGTGGGCGATGAGGGGAAACAGTCAGGGCTCCACTCCTATGTATTGGGAGGGGTCCTGTTTTAGGGGTTGTTGGGGAGAGTTATATTGGCGTAAGGGGGCATATTGGGAGCGCAGCACCATTAACTGGACCGTGTTTACCCGTTGTTTAATAAAGGCCACGAGTCGATTAATGACACAGGGCCCGATAGACAGAATTAAGAAGAGGGTAACGACTGGGCCCAGAAGAGGCAAGAGATAGGGCAGCCATCCTCCTAAGCCTTCCCAAAGAAATGCATTGTTGTCTTCTAGCTTTTTTCTCCGGTGTTCTAGTTCCTTTTGTAATTGCTTAATTTTATTTTTAACTATTCCTGACTTGTTAGCATAGAAGCAACATTCTTCCCGCAGGTAGAGACAGATGCCTCCTTTCTTTGCTGTGAGAAGATCTAGCCCGCGGCGGTTTTGCAGGACCACCGCGGCCAAAGAGTCTAACTGAGACTGTAACTCTAAGGTTGTATCTGCTAGCCGCCCAATGTCCCCCACCAGCTGAGCTGAAATTTTTTGGTAAAGGTTAACAGAGGTCCCAATTCCAGCAACTCCGGTCCCCACTCCGGCTGCCACCCCCAGGCCGAGCAGTAGTGGGGTAATTATGGCCCGCTTATGTCCGGCAGGCACAGACTGGATGAGCTGTATGGGAAGGCTTTGGTTGCCTGGGACCACTCCCACATCGGGCATGAGATATGTTAAAATGCACAAGCCCGACCAGTTAGCAGGGAGTACGGGGTAGGCTGTGGTGCCACAGAAGAAAATAGTGCCCAGTGCCGGCGGGCACATAGAGGCAGAGCCATTAAAACTGGGCGCCTTAGTTGCACTGACTACTGAACTGCAGAGTACCTTATTTACTTGACCCACTCTTAAGGTCCCATTGTGACTAAGGCATGGCATCTGAGCAACTGTTGGGGAGAGCTTGACATTATTGATGGGCAAGGTCTGGTTACACGTATGGGTTGGGCCCTTTAGGTTCGTCCAATTAATCCAGTTGTACACAGCAGGGATCGCTGTGTAACGGGGGGGTCCTTCTCTTAGACATAACCAGCAATCGCTGGCCAGGGTTGGGTTGGTCTTGTTTAAAAATTGTAGGGCTGAGTCTAACATGGCCTGTACTGTCTATTCCAATTTAAGGGAACCCACCGGGCCTGGGATGTGTATCGGCTTGAACCACCGATCCTGTGTTTGGGCAACTTGTTCAAAAACCCTCTGAACTTTCTGCTTTCGTGCGTGGTCTTGCACACCCCCACCATCTGTCATCCCCCAGTGGGTTTGCAGAGTCCAACAAAAGGGTTTTCCTGCTTTGACAGGGCATACATATCCCGCGTTATTTCCTAAGGATATACCAGTCCAGAAAGTTTGATTGGACTCTGTGCACTGATAAACAGTAGACCTTTTATAGCACTGTAAATGAACAAAGGTATAGGCTGAAAAACTCCCCCCCTTTTTACAGTGATTGCAACTTTCATTTTTAGGCGGCATTTGATTTAAACGCTTCCAACAGACCACCCTCCCCACTGTACCTGGACATCCATGGGTGGTGCCCTTAATCAGGGTCGCCACAAACAGAGGAACTCCCTTAAGGCTGCAAGCACGCTTACTAACATAGCACTTGCTCTGAATATGACCGAATATGCCTTCGGTGATGCACCGTCGGCAGGGATCCCAGTCAGCCCCGACAAGGAGAAAACAAAGGAAGGACAGTAGGTAGCCAACATTACAGTTTGGTGTCATTTTTCACGGCGTGGGCAGTGGTCTGGGAGCGATGGGTTGTAGCCGGGAGCGCCTGAAGAGTCAGCTTGAGTGGATTGGTGGGATGCTTCCGGGCTCGCCACTGCAGCTGGGAGTCGTCAGTTGGTGCCGTCTTGACGTGTGAGTGATGAACCCAGGCCGCGATGCCGTCCACTTTGAGTGCGGTGGGTGTGGTCAGGAGGACGATGTAGGGACCCTTCCACCGGGGCTGGAGGCCACGACCGTCGGTCTTGTGTCGGCGGACAAGGACAAGATCTCCAGGCTGAAATTTGTAGGCTGTCTGAGAAGGTCCTCCCCCTTCATAGAGCGCTCTGAGGCGGGGCCAGACCTCCCGGTGAGCCTGCTGTACAGCCCACACAGAAAGAAAAAGTTCACAATCAGAAGGCAAATCACAAGCTAACTGCGCACCGTGCGGTGTGGTTGGGGGGGCGGTTCCATAGATAATCTCGAACGGAGACAGACCCAGACGATAAGGGGAATTGCGAGCCCGGAAGAGGGCATAGGGAAGGAGAGTCACCCAGTCCCCGCCAGACTCTAAAGTTAATTTAGTTAAAGTTTCTTTTAAAGTTCTGTTCATTCTCTCCACCTGCCCTGAACTCTGGGGCCGATAGGCACAATGGAGCTTCCACTCTGCTCCCAGGGCAGAAGCCACAGATTTTGATACCTGAGAGACAAAGGCTGGTCCATTGTCTGACCCAATGGTCACTGGAAACCCAAATCTAGGAAAAATGTTTTCCAACAGGATTTTGGCTACCACTCGAGCTGACTCACCTCTTGTCGGGAACGCCTCCGGCCATCCGGAAAACGTGTCCACCAGGACCAGCAGGTATCGATAGCCAAATTTACCTGGTCTTACCTCGGTGAAGTCTATTTCCCAATGGACCCCCGGGGCGCGTTCCTCGCGGCCTCATTCCTGGTTCACCGGTTGTCTTGGTGGCGTTTACCATGGCACACGACTGGCAGGATGCCACTACTTGTCGCACGGTACAGGTTGCGTCCCAGACATGGAGGTTCCATTGCCTGATTAGAGTTAGAATTTTTCTCTCTCCCAAATGCGTGGCTCGGTGCAAGCGCTGAATGAGATCAGTGGCCAAGTGTGCTGGCAAGATGGCCTTAGTTTCTTGGGTGTACCACCAGTGTCCCAAAGAAAAAGCACCCGGTAGAGACTGTATGTAGTCAAAGTCCATAGCACTATACTCTGGGTCTTTCGGCAGCTGCGGGTCCCCTGGGTCTGGGAGTTTTACTGTCAGGGCATTTACCGGCATTAGGGCAGCTTGGCGTGCTGCCTCATCCGCCCGCTTATTACCTTGAGTTGGAGTCGAGGAGTCCTTTTGATGACCTGGATGATGTACTATAGCCAGCTTACGTGGTAGCCACAGCGCTGCCAGGAGATCCATAATTTCTTGAGCGTTTTTAATGCCTTTGCCGTCGGAGGTTAAGAGCCCGCGCTCTCGATATATGGCCCCGTGTACGTGGGCCGTGGCAAATGCATATCTGCTGTCAGTATACACAGTTAAATTTTTCCCTCGAGCCAAGGTGAGAGCTTTGGTTAGGGCAATTAGTTCAGCCTTTTGAGCGGACGTCCCGGATGGCAAAGGCTCAGCCCATATGACTTCCTGCATGGACACCACTGCCGCCCCTGCCGCTCTTCGGCCCTCGTGGATAAAACTGCTCCCATCCGTAAACCAAACCAGTCCGTCCGGCAGAGGGTTATCTCGCAGATCAGGGCGTAACCCTTGGACCTGGGCCAAGATATCAACACAGTCTAGATGGGCCTCCAGGTCAGGGGCAGGTAGGAGGGAGGCGGGGTTTAGCCCCGTGGGTGGCGAAAAATTGACCCTCTCTGGGTTGAGCAATAGGCTTTGGTAATGTGTGATTCGGGCATTACTCATCCACCTCTCTGGCGGCTGCCTGAGGACTCCTTCCACCGCATGGGGGGTGGTTATGGAAGTAACTTGTCCCAGAGACAGTTTTTGGGAGTCCTTGAAAAGGAGGGCAGCCGCTGCCACCATGCGTAAGCACGGTGGCCAGCCGGACGCCACCGGGTCTAACTTTTTAGACAGATAAGCCACAGGACGCCTCCAGGGGCCCAAGGACTGAGTGAGCACCCCTTTAGCTATGCCCTTTGCCTCATCTACGAACAAATGGAAAGGCTTTGTAATGTCCGGAAGACCCAGGGCTGGTGCAGACAGTAAAGCCCTCTTTAAGGACTCAAAAGACTGCTGCATCTGGGGAGTCCACTGAAAAGTTACTTTTTCCCGGGTAGCCTCATACAAGGGTTGGGCCAGGTCTGCGAATCCAGGTATCCATAGCCGGCAAAACCCAGCAGATCCCAGGAACTCACGTACCTCCCTTTTGGTGGTGGGTGTCGGCAACTGTAAGACAGTAGCTTTTCTGGCTTCCGTCAGCCACCTATAACCGTTTTTGAGGCGGTAGCCCAGATAGATTACCTCGGGCAGGCAAATTTGTGCCTTTTTTGCGGAGACGCGGTATCCCATCTGGCCCAGTTCCGTCAGTAATTCGGCTGTTCCTGTTCGGCAGGCATGCTCACTTTCCGCTGCAAGTAACAGATCATCAACATACTGGAGCAAAGTTAGTTCGGGAAATCGGCTGCGGAATTTTCTTAAATCCTCATGAAGGGCCTCGTCAAAAAGGGTGGGAGAGTTTTTAAACCCTTGAGGCAACCTTGTCCAAGTTAATTGTCCACTGATGCCCCGTTCCGCATCCTGCCATTCAAAGGCAAACATTTCCTGGCTTTGGGGTGCTAGTGGTAGACTAAAGAAGGCATCTTTTAAGTCCAATACTGTGTACCACACATGAGTAGGTGGCAAGGCACTCAGCAAGGTATAAGGGTTTGGGACTGTGGGGTGGATATCTATGACCCGTTTATTTACTTCTCTGAGGTCCTGTACCGGCCTGAAGTCTTGCGAGTGTGGTTTTCGCACCGGTAACAAAGGGGTGTTCCATGACGAATGGCATGTTTTAAGGATACCACTGTCCAATAGCCTCCGAATATGAGGCGTTATTCCTGCCTTGGCTTCTGCAGGCATAGGGTACTGTTTTACCCGAATGGGTTCAGCCCCAGGCTTTAGCTGGACTATAATGGGTGGTCTGTGGGACGCCAGGCCAACGCCCCCGGTTTCTGCCCAAACATTCGAGAAAGATTCCATCCACCACCCAGAAAGGGGTGGGTGATCTGGCGCCACCAAAAGGCGGTACTCATCTTGAAGGGAAATCGTGAGGACGTGTAGGGGAGAGCCCTTAAAGTCCTTGATTTCGACACCTTCCTGTCCAAATGAGATTTGCGCTCCTACCTTGGTTAAAAGGTCTCTTCCAATTAATGGGTACGGGCATTCAGGAATTACAACGAAGGTGTGCGAGACCTGACCTTTTCCCAGGTCTACAGATCTTTTCGTGGTCCAGGGATACTGCTTGCATCCCGTAGCCCCTTGCACCCACGAAGTTTTACCGGAAAGTTTACCCAAGGGTTCCGTGAGGACTGAATGCTGTGCCCCCGTGTCCACAAGGAAATTAACGGGTCTCCCCTCCACTTTTAAGGTTAGCCGGGGCTCGGGGAGGGTCGAGCCCTGACGGTCCTAGTCACTGTCATCTCTTGTGCCCCCGAGCACCAGGACAGGAGTGTCAGAAACGGCGGGGTTGTTTGAGGTTATTCCCCGTTTCTTTGGGCAATGTTTGGCCCAGTGTCCTTTTTGAGTGCAGTATGCACATTGATCACGCTGTAGGGTCCTGCCTGTCCCTGTGGAGCTGGGGCGGCGGGAGGGGTGTAGCTTACCCGGGTCGTCCTTTTGAGTGACGGCGAACAGGATTCTGGCCATATCCCGAGTGTGGCGTGCGTTTTCAGCCGCCCTTACCTTCCGTTCTTCCTGGCGGATGCGGTCTTCTCTTTGCTCAGGAGTTTCACGGCGATTGTACACCTTTTCTGCCACCTCCATAAGATCTCGAATAGATTTTTCTCCCAGCCTATCTATTCTTTGTAGTTTTTGTTTAATGTCAGGAGCCGCCTGGTTAACAAAGGCCATTACCACCGCGGCCCTGTTCTCCATTGCCTCCGGATCCATAGGAGTATATTGCCGAAAAGCTTCCATGAGGCGTTCTAGAAAAGCCGCGGGGGTCTCCTCCCTTCCCTGCTGCACATCCCCTACCTTGGCCAAATTGGTGGGCTTGCGGGCTGCTGCACGCAACCCTGCCATTAGAGTCTGGCAGTACACCCGGAGTCTCTCCTTACCTTCAGCCTGGTTAAAATCCCAGTCAGGTCGGGTCAAGGGAAACACTAAATCTATGCGGGCCGCGTTTGTGGTGGGTGTGCCATCTTCTCCAGGGACTAATTTCCTGGCGGCCGTCAGTATACGATCTCGCTCCTCAGTGGTGAAGAGGACCTGCAAGAGCTGTTGGCAATCATCCCAGGTGGGCTGATGAGTAAATAGAACAGTGTCTAGGAGATTAACAAGGTCTTTAGGGTTGTCAGAGAAACGTGCATTTTGTGCTCTCCAGTTGTAGAGGTCACTGGTCGCAAACGGCCAGTAGTGCATGGGCTGGTTGCCCTGCTCATTAGGCAATCCTGCCACACGCAGGGGCAGGACGGTGGAATCCGGGGAATTCGCCTTCACTGAGCGGGTGCCTGCCGCCGGACCCTGCCCACGAGCCCCGCCCGCCTCTGGGGGAGGGTGGTCAGCCGACCGCAGGAGTTGGGGAGGGTTACTACAAGGGTTATGATAGGGTGGTGGAAATAGAAGTTCCTCCGGGGTAGAGTCTTGGAAAACCGCAGGTGCCGACGGGGTGTTGGGGTGGGACCCAAGCAGTTTAGCCGGCAGTACGGGTTGTGCCTGTAACGACAAAAATGGCTTTAACCAAGCAGGGGGGTTCTGGACTAGATCTTGCCAGACTAAGATATACAGGAGTTGGTCAGGATGTCCGAATTTTCTTTCACTGGTGATGATTTCCTTTACGCGACGGACAATCTGTAAATCAAAAGTTCCCTCCGGGGGCCAACCAACTCCGAACTTCGGCCACTCTGAGGAACAAAAGGTGATTAGAGGGGATTTTTTTATTTTACACTGAGGTCCGACCCTCTGGACCTGACATCTTTAAAATGCTGTAAAACAACGGATAGAGGGGTAGATGGTGATTGACCCATGATGACAAATGCTAGAAGTACAGTGGCTGTCGTCACAAGAAACAGGCCAAAGACTGATTTTTCAAAAGGCCCCCAAAAGGGGTATCTGCTTCCCCGCAAAGGGTGTGGCCTTCCTAACATGTGGTCCGGGGACGTCTCCCGCGGTCCACGCCTGCGGCTTTCAAGTGCGTCCACTTAAGCCTGACCTGGCTATTGAACAGATTTTCAGGTTTGCAAACAATTACAGCTTTTACAGGTACAAAGTACAAAAGATACAGGTACTAAGTACAAAACAGCTTCTACAGGTACAAAGTACAAAAGATACAGGTACTAAGTACAAAACAGCTTCTACAGGTACAAAGTACAAAAGATACAGGTACTAAGTACAACTACAGGTCTGCAGACTTGAAGCTTACCTGGGCGAGTGTTGGAACTCACCTGCGCGCTTTAGAACTCCTTTCGGTTGCTCGGCAGTTGGGGTCTGCACTCGTCGATCCCGGACGAGCCCCCAAAATGTTGTGCCCACGTCGACCAGTGCAGCCCCCAAGGACACAGACAACCGATGCAAGGGCACAAAGGAGTTTAATACGGGCTCGAGACCGGCCCTCGACACGCACCGATGCAACGGCAGAGGTCGAGAGCCCCGAACAGAGGAAGCTGGGACATCTTATAGGGTCGCGAGTGGCGGGAACTTTGAAAGAAGTTGGCAATTATTCATTGGCTACTACAAAGGCACTTTGGGCGCGCGCGGTTACAGTTTCAAACTGATTGGACGGTTAGAGATGCTGTCCCATTTATGGACAGGACTGCCCTCATTGGTGGCTGGGGTGGTCTGCTTTTTCGTCACCAAGTGGAGTGAGGGTTGTGACTGCTGAAACTATCTCCGGAATGCGGCAGGACAAGGACTAACATATCAAGGTGGAGGATATACAAAATGGCGAAACCTCAGCTAAGCTTGGTTCCACACAAAGCTGCCCGCAGCTTCTGCAGTGCCAGTTCAATCCCCTGCCACTGGTGAGGGTCCCACATGGTGTGCGGACCTCTCCTGTCTTGTCCACTGCTCCCCTCAGCAGTGTACTTTGGTCCTTCTGCAACAGGGTGGTCCCCAGGAAAGGGGGAGGTTCCCTGCCCCACCCAAAGGAGGGTGGAGCTGAGCAGGAAGAGGAGAAGCTGAAGAAGAGACTGAGGAAGGAAGCAGGATGGAGCCAGGAGACCTGGAGGAGGCACATGGAGCCTAGAGACACGTGAAGAAACTGCGCTTGTCTTTTGGTCGTGGACTAGGTGACACAGATGTGGGTGAGACCCGTGGGGAGGTGACCATGGCAGCTTTTATCTTGATGTTGATTTTGCTCTTTTCCTTCCGGGCTTGTCCGGTTGTTTGTGACCCTTTTCTGTGGGTCCCCACTGGAAGATGTTTTAGACTTGTGGTAGACTTTGGGGCCTTGTTCTGGGCCGATCACATATGGATGGACTTTTACCCACGAGGGGATGGGTAACTTTGGGTGCTTCATTTAGAAACTAGACTCTTTGCCTTACCTGTATTGTTTCCTAGTTTAATTAAAGTTCCTTCCCATTAAAGTCTCCTATGTTTTGTGTTGATGCGGCGGATGGCAGAACCCATTTAGAATAGGCAGGTTTGCGGGGCTTGGGCTGCCCCTCTCCCTGTCCTATAACAGATTTGGCGACCACGAAGATTTAGGACAGCCATCCGTGGTTATGTTATAGGACAGGGAGAGGGGCAGCCCAAGCCCCGCAAACCTGCCTATTCTAAATGGGTTCTGCCATCCGCCGCATCAACACAAAACATAGGAGACATTAATGAAAAGGAACTTTAATAAAACTAGGAAACAATACAGGCAAGGCAAAGAATCTAGTTTCTAAATCAAGCACCCAAATTTACCCATCCCCTCGTGGGTAAAAGTCCATCCATATGGGATTGGCCCAGAGCAAGGCCCCAAGGCCTGCCACAAGTCTAAAGCATCTTCCAGTGGGGACCCACAGAAAAGGGTCACAAACAACCGGACAAGCCCGGAAGGAAAAAGAGCAAAATCAACATCAAGATAAAAGCTGCCATGGTCACCTCCCCACGGGTCTCACCCACATCTGTGTCACCCAGTCCACGACCAAAAGACAAGCACAGTTTCTTCACGTGTCTCTAGGCTCCATGCGCCTCCTCCAGGTCTCCTGGCTCCATCCTGCTTCCTTCCTCAGTCTCTTCTGCAGCTTCTTCTCTTCCTGCTCAGCTCCACCCTCCCTTGGGTGGGGCAGGGAACCTCCCCCTTTCCTGGGGACCACCCTGTTATAGTTAGTCAGCCCCATGGGGAAATTGGGCTTCCCTATGGCACTGGCTACCATAAGCGCAAATGTGATTTTTGGTTTCTCCGGTGTGTTTGTTTCATATGTTGATTTGCTGTTGAAAAACTGGCTTGGGCTTTGTGAAGATCTGTGTGTCTGTATGTAATTTGTTTGTAGTGACTTGCTAAGACATTTGATTTTGTGGAAATTGTTCTGTGCCGGTTTTACTCAAAAGATTAGGCAGTACATTGGACCATGTGGCCAGATCAAAGATGGCGTCTGAGGCCACTTGGCGTGCTCTTGTAAAATTCAGAGGTTCTTGTTGCTAGGACTTTGGAACTTTTTTTTCTTTCTTTTTGTAATCTCTGCTGTCTCATTAGCATTTCTAAAGGCAATAATGGTTCTTCAGTGGTTTGTTGCTTTGTCTTTGGCTACTTCCTGCCTGATGGATTTTGCAAGCCAATTGTGGAGCAGTGGTGTTTAAATTAGCAAATGTATGCCTGGGTGCTAAGGAAAGAGTAGCCTTAAGCAGTAACTGGTAATTGCTGGTATCCTTGATGGATTCTTGGAGATAACTTGAATTTTTGCAAAGTCTGGATCAGAAAAATTAACAAGATTTTGTTTGAGTCTGAAAGGATTTGCTACTGTGAATTTTGTCTACACAATTTTTTTTGAGCATGTTTGCCATTTGGAATACTGGATTTGTTCAATTGCTGGTGTAAGACAAGATTCTAAGTTTCTGCTTCCTACTGAGGAAGGTCTGTTATGGAAAGCACTCTTTAGGGTGCATCATGTAACTGTACCAGGTTTTCATACCTGTGTTGTTGTTGTCCCTCCCTAGTGTGGGGGAGGTGTAATTTGTGCTTAGATGTTTAATCTGCTCTTTCAGCTTCTGTCCCAGAGTGGCTAACAGAAGTAAGGAGATGACTCCTTTTAATTGAAAGTTAATTACTGATATTTTGATTTTGCTTTTTCATGTTCTATTCCAGGAAACCCAAGGAATGCCTGCTTGGTGGCTAACAAGAGATGACTCCTTTTGCTTAAAAGTTAACTGTTACTTTTATTCTTTCAGTTGCTGTACAGAATACCCCAGGATTGACTTCTAATAAAAAGTCTTCAACACTGAAAACCCTAAGGTGATAAACAAGGTCATGTAACTCTTGTGATTAATAAAACTTTTCCTTCCTATTTCCAAAGTCTTAGGTTTGTAGGACGACAACTGGAAATTTTTCTGCCAGCAACACTCCACATTTTTTTGGACTTTGACATTTTTTTCTGAGCCTATGGAGTAAAACTGCAGTTACATAACATTCTACGTGGCATAACTAAAAAAAAAAAAAACTGTCTTTGTCTATATGTTGTATGTCTGTATGTCCTTGTGTCTGTCTTGGCCTAGAGAGGTTGAAATATTGGTATACGTGGTGCCCATAGACGTTGAAAAAAAAAAGAGTCTCCAGTTATGAGAAAAACTAAAGGTTATGGTTTGATTGTCAACATTGTGCTACTGAACTAAGCCGGTGCATTCATAGAGATTAAAATATTGTTGTTTCTGTTAATTTTCTGATATTTATGGCAAAGCTTCCCAGAAATCTAAATTCAAGTACAAATTTGGTAGCCTGTCATTTGACTGATGCAAGGAAATTTTGTGGAACCTCAGTAGAGCTCCTGAGATACTCCACAAAGTTTCTCCCTTTCCTCCTGAGAAGGCATTAGATGAATTTGTTCTATTTGGCTTTTACCTAATGAAGTAAAACTAGAAGGGAAGCATTGTCACTTGGGAAAATGGTAAAACTTTGGTATGTACAGAATGTTAACAGTAGTTTTCTAAAATGTGTATTAAAAAAAAAAAACTCTCAGTATCTGGTATGTATGTATATTGTCAATGGTGATTGTCACCTTGTAATATTGTATAATTCAATTGTTTCACATCTACAGAAATTGTTTCTGGAAATACAGGGAGAAAAGGTCTCAACAGATTCCTATTGATGGAACTGTTGAGAGTAAAAAAACTTTCCTACAAAGGACTGAATAGACCTGGAAATACACCTGACATTTACTATGGTTTCTTTGACATAATACTGGAAATTTTTTTATGCATTCTGTCCTGAATCCACGAAGTTTTTGTTTTGTTTTGGTGACCAGGATCTGCAGCAAGGTTGTAATTTTTTTTCCCCAACAAAGCTAACTTGTGTTTGCATTTTCTCTCCCCTTGATACCAACACAGCATAAAAATAGTGGTAGTAATCTTTTACTACTTATCTCAGAGTCTGTTTTTGCATAACTTCCATAGGGATTTTGTTTAAACTGAAAAAAATTGGACGTGAGTTTGATTGTGTGGCTTTGTGTGGAGTTCTTCCAGAAAGTTGAAACAGAGCTGAACCAAGAAGAGGAGAACCTGTTTGCCTTGTTTGTAGGGTTCCAGAGACCTCCAAAGAAGGTGAGGAAGCTTGCCTCCATTGGCAGGACTGGACAACCCGGCCAACGAAAATGCCCTGGTACCCTCGAGAAGAGGAAAGCCCAGGTGGAGTCTGATGAGACCAACTTTACACCTGAAGCCTACGTCGACCGGATGCCAACGGTTTGCTCTGATCCTATATGGGGTA